TCCAACCGCCTGGTAAGCCTAAACTTAGGTTGTACACCAACCTTTGTAACGCGTGCTAGGCAAGAAGTGTTAGACATAACCTTTGCTACCAATAACATGTCCAGGCGAATAAATAACTGGCATGTTAGTAGCGAAAATTCGATGTCTGATCACAAGCACATTAAGTTCGTATTTGGAGCTTCACCAACCCACTAAACCGTTACTTTTAGGGATCCAAAAGCGACCTCCTAAGACATCTACAGAGATAGCCTAAGGAGGAATTTGGAAACGTTTACTAAAAGCGTCATAACAATTGAAGGTCTGAAGTTAGCGACGGAGACAGTAACCGTAGGTAATCTTCGAGGACAGTTGTCCCGTCGAAACCAATATCTCAACGTGAAAAGTTCCTTGGTGGAATACTAAGCTAAAAGAACTCAGGGAAAAGACCAGGAAACTATTTAATAGGGCTAAGAAAACCTAAGAATGGGATATTTGTAGTGCAGCCCTAACTATTATATTTAATAAAGAAATTAGGAAAAACAAGAGAGCATCGTGGAGGAAGCTATGCGAGGAAGTTGAGTCTTTGCCTCGCAGTGCAAGACTTCACAAAATGCTATCGCAAGCCAAACCTAATCAGGTCGGGCTTCTTAAAAAGCCGCGTGGTAACTTCACTAATAGTGAAACAGAAACATTGGAGTTACTAGCGTCAACCCATTTCCCAGGGTCACACAAAACTTCAGCCTTGAATTATTTCAGAGCCCTACGAAGGCCTTGTAATAAGAACTGGTGTAGGGCTGCAAAGATAATAAGGCCAAACCTGGTGCAGTGGGCTGTTGACTCCTTTGAACCATTTAAATCAAGCGGGGAGGATGTAATAATTCCCATCCAACTACAAAGGGGTATCGACATCCTTCTTCCTTATCTGGTGAAAATCTTCAGAGCAAGTTTTGCATGGGGATATATTACAGAACGATGGACAATTGTCAAGGTTCTATTTATACCTAAGGCTGGTAAAAAGGACTACGCTTTACCAAAGTCCTTTAGACCTATAAGCCTATTTTCCTTTCTCCTTAAGACATTGGAAAAGGTTATAAATAGATATATAAAGGATGCAATTCTAGCTACGAGGCCCATACATTACAACCAGCATGTTTACTGCAGAGGCAAATCTATGGAAACAGCCCTAATCAGTGTCATTGACAGGGTTGAAAAAGCACTGGAGGATAAAGAAATAGCTCTTTGAGCCTTTCTAGATATTGAAGGCACCTTCGACAATAGCCCCACATCACTGCTGATTGGGGACCTGACATCTAAAAATGTTGACCCCACAACCATCAGACGGGTGATGTCGATGCTCTCAAACAGAAAGGCAAAAATCGCACTGTTTCAAACTTCGATTGAGGTTGTAACAACAAGCGGCTGCCCACAAGGAGGTGTTTTGTCACCCCTTCTTTGGACTCTTGCGGCTATTGTACAAAATGGCAGACCTACACATTGACACACTGGGTTATGCTGACGACCTTGTGATCATTACGAGGGGCTTTTGCCAAAGTACTTCATCGTCAATAATTCAAACTTAGCATGAATTTGGGTAGATACACCTGTATCTTCCAGACAGAAATTTTCGCCGTACTTCGGTGTGCGGAAATCAATCTGCAAAAACATTACGTCAACCATATAATTTACATAAACTCTGATAGTCAAGCAGCACTGCTAGCGCTGAGGTCAAACTTAGTGAACTCGAAGCTAGTCGGAGACTGCGTGAACCGTTTTAAAGCCCTGGGATGTAACAACAGGATCGTTTTAAGATGGGTTCCGGGTCACGAGGGTATTGTAGGCAACAAATTTGCCGACAAACTTGCATGGGAGGGCTCAAAGTGCACACAATTTGGACATGAGCCATTTTGTGGAATCTCAAGAAGCTTAGCCCGAATTGACCCTTGAAACTCTTTATCACAATAAATCACTTAAGATCAGGTCTGACACATCAGGCTTAAAGCATTCTAAAACCTTAATCTGGGCTTTTGATCGTAAATTCGCCTCAGAAGCCATGGGATTAAGTAAAAATAAATTACGCATTCTGGCAAGAGCCCTAACTGGACACTGTTGTCTTAAAAAGCACATGTCCATCCTGGGACTAAGCAACTCAAGAATGTGTCGGTTCTGTTCCATAACGGAAGAAAGAGGCATCTACACATCCTAAATGATTGCGGACCCTTAATGCGCAAACGTAACACTCATCTGGGAAACTATCTACTCCGCCCAGAAGAAGTGAAATTGCTCACGGCTAAGCAACTCCTTCTGTTCATTGAAGACATAGGGCTTAGCCGTGAACTATAGCCACAGCAGCGATCACAATAGATCTTATAGTTCACAGTGATACTGGTCTCTTTCCCTAGACCTGCATAGCTGCTCGAATATAATAAAAAAAGCTATTATAACAGTTTTATCAACATTAACTGATAAACTGTTATCCCTACACCAGTTATTTATGATGTTTAGGGCTCTTTGTATGATTGACGATAAAGTACATTGGCGAAAGCCCCTCGCAATGATCACAAGATCATCAGCATAATCCAGTATGTCAATGCGTAGGTCTGCCATTTTGTACAATAGTTGGTCAACCGCAAGAGTCCAAAGAAGGGGTGACACTGTTTTGTCTCCTTGTGGGCAGCCTCTTGTAGTTGCAACTTCAATCGAAGTTTGAAACAACGCTATTTTTGCCTTTCTGTTGTTGGTGACCCCACATTTTTAGATGTCAGGCCCCCAATCAGCTTGTATAATTCCATTGTATAGCTATTTCCAAAAAACTCATTCAATGGAATTATATAAACTTAGAGAGTTTTATTGGTGATTTTAAAGATAATAATTCTGTAAACACATACTTGTTACGGTCGCGAATCATATTTTCTTAAACATACAACCTCACACTGACCTGCAAATTGCAAATAAAGTAAGAGAATTAAAATTTCGCGGGCTATCCTGGCACGTTCACCTTAAAGACTCTGATTTATATTGGCTCCACTTATAAAAAATGCGATAAAAAAAATAATAATAATGGAGTGCACAGATATTGCCTTGGCACGGGTGTACTTTTTGACAAAAGCCAAACATATTTCAAATTAGGATAAAGTCATGTTTCTGGACGAAATGATGCTTAATGTTAACCACTCTGTACCGAAAACGTTGACGGATGACATGACACAACCATTCAGCAAAGTGCCCGAAGGCAAAGCAGAACGCCTGTTAACTACGCACGCTGGGACGACAAACGATTTCGTACCCAATTATTTGTTGGCTATCAAATCAACAAAAACAACAAAATATCATGAGGAAATGAATTTCAAAAAGTTCAAAGAGTGGTTTTTAACATTACTGGAAAATCTTCATGAACCATATACGATTATTATGGATAATGCACCGTACCATTCCTTACAAAAGAACAAAGCTCCAACATCCAGCAGCAGAAAACTGAAGCTTATGTATTGGCTGAAGAGCGAAGGCGTTGAAGCCAATAAAATATGTTGAAACACGAATTGGTCCGATTAGTGAAAGAAAACAAACCCAGAAAGCCAACCTAAATTTTGATGAAATCGCTTAACAACATGGACATATTAATGTGTTTAGATTGCTACCATATCATTGTCATTATAATGCGTTCCAATGGATTTGATCTCATGTTAAGGGTTTTTTTGTCATTCTACCTAGTTTAAGTTATTTTTAAGTCATGCAGCCAAACATAACACATCTCCACCATTTACGGCTAAGAAAATGCTGAATTTATTGCGAAATGTCTGTGATAAAGTTACTGCGGATGACTGGAGAAAAGTCGTGAAACACACTAAAAATATAAACTTGAAGACTGGGAGCGAAATGTGCACTATAACAGAGTTTGTGAACAAGAATTAATAATCAACGTAAGGGACTGTTACAGTAGTGGGCCTAGTGATGATGATAATAATAATGAACTTGATTTAGTTTGTGCACAAATAACTTTAAGAGGCAATTCCTTGTTTTATTCCTTTCACAAAAATTATTTGACTCGCACGTATTCTACTTAATAGTCTGACTGATCGAACAAAAATATGCGCGTTGTTAAATCGTTGTTGTCGGAGGCATTTTATTATCGTATTAATAATCTATTATTAATTGAATAAATAAGATATTGTTTAAAATTCCAAATTCATACAGCATAATCATGGAACTATGGATTGTAAGCTTATGTCAATTTCAATGGCAAAGATTGTAAGTCTATGTCAATGGTCTAAACCATTCAACTCTAGCAAGTTCTATGAGCATAATAATCGAATAGATTCATTAACGATTCTACACCAACCCATCCCTAGAATGAGCTGTCAAAATTATCAGGCGTAGACAGAGAATCCTAGCATTCTCTGTCTATAATATATATACGTTATCAGGTATAAGGGGCAAGTGAAAAAATATATCGATATATATCTTATCAATATGTTTTAACAGTATCGATATATATCGCGTGATTAATAGCGATATATCGTGATTTTTGCATGATGAGTTGAAGAGGTAGGACAAGGCCCAAAATTATATTAATAGACGGTTGGACGACGAAAAAAATGACAACAACACATGCATGCTTTTGTAGTTTCTTTTGTTGCTTAATGTTTTGTCGATTAATACAACATTTTAAATTATATCAAAATTTATACGAATTCGATACTCCAAAATAAATATCGAACATCGATATATGGAGATTTAATAATATCGACTAATTATATCAATTTGTGTATGAGAAAATATCGATATTTTTACCCATAAGCACAAGATGTTGATGATTGACGTTTATTTCAAACACATTCCCTAATTTAACTTTTCAATAGCTAGTAATCTGTGTTCAATAGATCGATCAATCAAAATTGCTTGATCTATGTTAGTATTTATGATTTGTTGTTGCCTTTATTAATTTGTTATCCATAAATTAAAAGAACTTCTTATCAAAGAATATATTATCGTTGAGCCGACATGCTATTGATTGAATAAATGAAATGCTGCGTCGTTTTTTGAGTATAAGACGATTACTTAGAATGCCTGCGACAGAAGCTGGAGATCAATATTCAGTATGGGTAAGCATAAAAGTTTTTAATTCTAATATTATGTAAGCTGTGTACGCCTTGTACATAAACGATAAAACATATGTTACAAATATATTTTTCTGTCAGTCGAAACCAAACAGTAATTAGAATGGATGTTCTTTGTTTTTTATTTCATTTTATATTAGTGTCATATAGTTTGGAACTAAATATAATACTAGGTACTTAGTACATAAGTTATTATAGTATCATCCTATTTTAAGTCAAAGATTTAGTGAAATAAAATATTAAATTAATCTATAAAGGATCCTTTAAACAGGTGTAGCATTTTTGACAAGAAAAATGTTCTAGAAATAAATTATTTATTTTAAGTATTTATCTGCAGGTGGGCTTGATATATATATTTAATTTGATTGTTGGCACCGGTGCTCTAACGTTACCAGCAGCATTTGCACGAGCTGGATGGGGTCTCAGCACTATTTCACTCCTATTCCTTGCTTTCATGAGCTTCATGAATGCTACTTATGTGATAGAGACAATGGCATGTGCTAATGCAGTCTTTAAGTGGAAAAGATTGCAATTTATTAAAAGAAACAGTGTAAGTAATAATATTTTAAAATTGGACATGATAATGTTTTGTTTTTGGTCTTGTTATAGACATTACAAAATTTACTTTTCATCTCTAAGGTAACTCAACTTTGTAGAAGTCAAGTTATAGGTATTATATATTTTTCTATGAATTCTGAATTTTGGTTTAGAATGCATTTAAGGTTTTCACGTCTTATTCAGATCACTGTATTTTATGTCAGTGTGTATAATATTTTAGCAAATAAAAAGTTCTCTGTTAATTTAGCTGTGTCATTTCTAACCAACTTCAGAAAAAGGAGGAGGTTCTCAATTTGACTGTAATTTTTTGTGTGGTTACTTCAGAACTTTTTACAGGTGAAACGATTTTGATGATTCTTTTTTTAATTGAAAGCTGGTGCTGCTCATGTGGTCCCATATAAATTTGATCATGATCTGACCAGAATTTACTGATTTATCTTTAATAATGCATATTTAATCGACTTCAATTGCATTGATGATGTTCTCATTTTATGTATATTGAAGTGGGCTGGACAAAATTTTTATTTACGAGTTTATTGATGTCTAATGATTTTTTATGAATTTGACCGTTACAGCCTATTAAAGTCCACTGCTGAACAAAGACCTCCCCCCTAGATTGCTTTATAGAGGGTGTACTTGCCATAGTTGCCGCACTTAGTATGCGGGTTGACAACCACAGTTTTTTATTTGTAGTTATCAGGCTGCTGCACATCTCCTAACTTGTTTCCCTCTGTCGCCTCTTATGACAGCCACTGGATGATATGTGGTATTGGATATTCTTACAGTGCCACTTTACGGAATTAGACCATGAGTTGTTATAATATAGTATATTAATATCAATTTATATTTATTGTTACAGCTATTATATATAAGTTCGGGGAAAAAGTTTCTTTGTATTTTGTTTATAAATTCAAGACATTTTTTTTAATTAAATTATATTTAATTATAATATATAGTTGCCGACATGAGTCGTGAGCACAGATAAACTGTGGTGGGAGGTAGGTACAATGTCGGGCAAAATTATTGGGTACCTTTATTATTTCAATTCGTAATTGAATATTTTCGCCGACTTTTATGAAAATGCTTACTCGAACACATCAACTTTTACTTTGATACAGTAATGTTGCAGATATTCGTGTCCGTTATTTTATAATCTACTATAAAGTATTTAATGTATACCTGGTGGTAACAATTGATTATTTTATTAATAAGAAGGAAGAGGTGATATGCCTTCCATAAAATCTGGTGTTGCGGTGCGCCATACAGTAGCTACTGAGACATTAGTCGCCTTAGCAGTCTGTTTATATATGTCTATGATGTTTTTCGCAGTACCTTATTTTTTTTTCATGTAACTAAACACTGAATCGACCATTTGTCAGGATTATCTATTTAACACCGAATTCTTCCTTCTCTGCATATTTAGACCAAAATCTGAACACTCAAATTATAACAACAAAAGTAATTAAAAATAATAAATAACAAAAACAATTAATAACAAGGAATACACAAACAACAATTAACAACAAGGTAACAAAAAAAAATTTACGAAAATAAACTAATTAAAAAAGTTGTCACTAAAATTATTGCTCTGAAGTGTACGGAAGCTGAATGATATGTTCGAAACCAATAGACTATGAGAATCGACTGATGAACCAATCACGTTGAACGGCAGCGTGGTCAACGTCGTATCGACCAATAAAAAGTGTGCTCACGACTTATGTCGGCAATTATACATGTGATCAAAAAAATGCGACAAGTAGTTTATGTGAGCACAAAGATCATGTGGTACCCAAATATTGTGCTTTTTTGTATAGCAAGACTTTTTCAAATGGGTCAAAACTGTTTTGTGATCAATTACCAATTCTATTGCTATGTCGTAACTACTAATATGCCGATCATGCTCACTTTTTCAAAAATCACATCAACTTTATCTGTATGAGCGAGTTGCATCTTTGACATCAAAATTCCCAGACTGAAAATGCTTGAACCAACTTTGTGCTTCTGTTACTGACACTACATTAGGTCCACAAACGTCACAATTTTTTTTGCGGCTTGTATCACGTTTTCCCATTTTGTAATAAAACTTCAAAATGTATCAAATTTCTTCACTAGAATCACTCATTTTGAGGGACAGAAAAACAATAATGGCAATATATGTTCATATTAAAACCAGCCAGATACAAACAGTACAACCAATGAGATTTTTCTTCAATTTTATACAAACAAAATACAAACTTTTTCCCCAACCTATTAAGCAGCTGTACAGCTGATAATGCATTTTATTGGAATTTAAATGAGAACATGACTCTGTTATATGAATCGCAGTATTTAATTTACATTTAAATTGATATGTTTAATAAACAAAAGCAATCTGGATATTTTTAATATATGTTCTTGATTACAGAGTTATTACTTTATATTCGAGGTATCCTTGAAAGGCTGTTATGTACTATTTTGTAAATATTTACTTTTAATATAAAAAGTGTTATAATATTCATAATTTTAATAACAGATTCAGGATCATGACTCAGATGAAGAGCCTGGTACCTCCCAATATCCTTATGGGGATTTAGAGGACCCTCTTGTATGTGGAGATTCAATACCTTCCCGGTATTATAGTCTTGACAAACGGATAGAACTTGGTGAAATGGCAAATCTGTTCCTATCCAAAATGGGCAGGACAATGTTTTATTGCACCTTATGCGTGTATTTATATGGAGATCTTTCTATTTATTCAGCAGCTGTAGCCAAATCTGTTATGGATATTGTATGGTAAGCATATTTTATAGATAAATGGTTTTTCCTGGGACTTTTCTTCCATAAACTTTGTGTTATCAACATCATTAGTGTTCCATGCCAAAAAAATTTGCAATAAAATAGTTTGGAAATTCCGAAAGTGCATGCTTCATGAGCATTTTAATTTTTTTAATTTAATTTTCATGAAAAAATAAATATCTTTTAAATGTCTGAGTCTGATAACAACCAGCAATTGGGATCATCCTGAGAATAAATGTAAACTTATTCAGAAATATTTATTTTATTTCGTTGTATATATTTTTTTGAAACGTGAATGCAAACAAGTGCACAGACTGACAGCTTTTTCGTAAATATAACTAAATTAATAAAAAAATTCGTTGACTTTATAATTTGAAATATCTGGGGGCACGGCAGTGCCCCGCCAAGTCGAGCAAAAAAGCGGCACGCCCGTACCATACTTTTCTCGAAGCAATTCAGGCCATTTTCGACCTCCTATAACTCCGTAGTGGATAGAACTAGAAATCTGAATTTTTAATACGCGTTTAATTTAGTCGATTTTAATTCCCGACTTTTGGGGTCCTCCGTGACTATGAATGCTGTAAGTGTAAGGCACCCCAAACGTCAGGAATTAAAATCTAACTAAATTAAACGCGATAAAATCCGTAAAAGTAGTTTTATTTAAAAATGATACAGTTTTTGCTTGAATGTTGACTCCGACTGGCATTCGAACCAAGAACCCGCGTCGTTGTAGCCAGATACTTCGACCACTAGGCCACAGAGTCGCATATTGTAATAAGATATACAATATCGTACAAGGTTATCTATCTTTTATAAAGTAAAAGTATTGAATAAAAGAGGTTATTATTCATTAGTTATGTTGTTTGATTGTTTTATAACTGATATGTTTAATCAAGTGCAGGCGATCGAGCGGACGGCAAACGCGGTGATAATGTCGATTCAATATACAATGTTCGCAAAATGAATACGTAAAAACACGTACACATTTCATATTCAATTCACGTCTGAAACTAGTTGCATATTTATTGAGAATTAACATTTACGAGTATCTTATGACCATGCACTATTTATCAAGCCGTACCCCAGAGCTTAATCGCTAATCCTTAATATATATATATATATATATATATATATATATATATATATATATATATATAAAAGTTAGTGTCTGTTAGTTATCGTGTAACTTCTGAACTGCTTAACTGATAAAGATTATATTCACACAATATATTTGTTTTATCGAGACGAAACTTCATATCTATGTTGTACCGATAAGTGACGCTGTAGTCACGATATTAACAATTTAATATTTGTGAATCACAATAACTCATATTCACAATAGTGACATTCTCAAGATCGAATTTCGGCCCAGCCGGCCAGATTCGACGGAGACTAGCCATCTACGCTTCACAGGATTATAGTGCGCAAGTGTATGCACAAACACAGGTGCACTTTGTTTTCCTCAATATCATAGTCCGATGGAACGATAATCCGACATAACCGAAGATAGATCAGCACCAGGCTTTACGTGCTAGCCGAGGCAGGGGGTGAAACTCCGCCTACTTCCTCACTCCGGATTGGTACAAACACACAAATGATTTTGACCCGACTTGGGATTTGAATCCAAAAACTCATAGTCAGCAATCGCGTTTACAATCATTAGACCGAGGCAGTCCTACAATATAGGTACGTTGATTTAGTGACCAATCTGGCCTCGACAGATGGTCCTCTATTTGAATTGCTATTGAATTTTATTTAAATACACTGAGTACGGAGTGAACTCGACGGGTTCGCGTCAACTATCAAAAATATCAGAAAAACTTCTGTTAAGCAAGCTAGTTCTCTAGTTATTATATTTATACCCATAGAATACTATGATTACATACTTAATAGAACGGGGGAGTGGGCGGAGCCCGCGTAGCCACAAAAGTGTCACTAACACGTCAATTCACACGTATAAATGTCAACACGAGATGTGTTTTTACGTTACAATCAAATTTTGCATGCAAATTATTTAGAAAATGCCAAACTGCACGCTATTTACAAATAAATATGTATTAAAATCTGTCTGTCAACACAGCGAATCGGGTTTGTAATAGTGATAATACGACGTAATTGCTTGTATGTGTGCTCCCGGCGAGGCCTATCCTCGTACAAAATAAGGTTGACAGCCATTCTATTGTGTATTATAGTATTCTATGGTTATACCCATAAAATTACTCTTTATAAGCAATTCAAAGTCTACTACTGGACATGGCATTTTCATGTTGTAGACACGTTCTTGGCAGGCGAATTGACGATAGCAGTTTCTCCCTCGTCTTGCACCCTTGACGTTCCACGTCGCCGGTCTGTGTATTTCACGTCTGACGTTAACGGGGTCGTACCGCCCTCTACCGATCCATGCGATCTTTCTAGCATTTTTAAAAATCGATTAAGAAATATGCAATGCATTATCTTATGCCGACACCATACGGTCTACGTTAGTAATTTAGATAAGAGTAGTTGGTCGTCGTAACCTCGCGATATATCGTACGTGCCACATGTAAAATATTGAAAAACAGACATAAGGCACGTTGTTTTTGTAAAATATGTACTTTAGATCTATAAAGTATACAAATAAATACATACTTTAATAAAACAATTATATATATATATATATATATATATTTATATATTTTTTATATATTATATATACACTGTAAACACCGTTGTCCTTGAAACCAGTCGTTTGGTTTCACTTATAGAACGTAAATTCAATGAATTAAAAAAAACGCTATTTTCTTACATCAAATTTTAATAGTTTCTGTCCGACACCGTCCGTAAATTCATGGATACCCTATGCGCCCGAGTGACGTAATCACTGTAAAGATCACCGCCCGCGCTAGCTACCTATATTGCGGTCACATTAACTTGACGCATCGCTGGAATGCGAGGCCCCGCCCGCTAGCCCCCGCACTCCCTTAGCTCGCCCGGCAATCGTCAGTATGGTTAACATTCCTGTTAACACTGTTGTAAATGACGTCATCAAAGCCATGCGTCAAGTTAATGTGACCGCGTTGTACACAACATTCAACATAAAAACACAATAGGTACACATAACCTGTGATGTAAATTTTCCTTCATACTTTTATCCTGGCAAAAATTGAGGAATCAAAGAAAAATTGAGATTTTACAAAAAAAAAAGTTGTTATTTTTTATTGAATTTACGTTTTATAAGTGAAACCAAACCACTGGTTTCAAGGGCAACGGTGTTTTTAAATTCAAATTACGTGTCACGTTGTTTGTCCGCGATGAACTCTTAAACTACTTAACCAATTTTGATCAAATTTGCACGCCCTGTGCAGTTTGGTCTAACTTGAGAGATAGGATATAGTTTTTTTTTTTGCTCATGAGTGACTCAAATTTTTTTTGCGAATTTAAGGGATTTTAATAGGAGATGACAAAGGATCGTCGAAAAGGGCAGAACAACGTCTGCCTGGTAAGCTAGTATATATATATATATATATATATATATATATATATATATATATATATATATATTGCTACATGGATGTAAAAGATCTGTTATAAATATTAAAACTCAACTACATTTAGAGAAAAGTTAGTAACTATAGCTAGATAGTCGCCCGTCACATCTGCCTAAATACCAACGTCTGTCAGACGAATTAGCCAACTTATCATCAAACGTATGTCACATCCCCGTCGTCGGATATTTTACGTCAGTAAAAGATATGATTTTTGCCACTATCTATTGAAAGCCATGATATTTTTTTCCTATTGCCTCTAACGATGCCCAAGGATAGAATCTGTGTGTTTTGCTTCAAGGTTGCACTGTATATACCCTATACTTTAATATAACCTACCTCAATATCAGTGGCGAAGCTTCCATAAAAGCCGATAAGCCACGCTTGCCTTATTAAAACTGAATCAATCAATAATATCAACTAATAAAATAACTTATAAACTGTTTCAAATTATTTCAATTTTCCCGCGCACTCCACTGTTCGACACATGTCGACCGATGACCTCGTATTGCCTTAGCGATAAGTTTATACAAAGGTACGCTGTGGCGATACTGCTGCTGTCATAAAGTGAGTTTTAATAGAGCGATTAGTTGTCTCCCTCGCTTGCGTGGGCTTTTTACGGGGCTTTCGAGAAGACGATCGCTCTCTTTCTAACCTATGGCAAAATATTCTATAATGAAATATAACTACGAAATGTTTATATAGCAATTACTATTGAGCCAACAAGCCTGGCTTTGCCATGAAGTTGTTTAGGAGAGCGTTAGCGACTAGCGAAGTGGTTACGGGCCTCTCGTATGCAAGTTCACTTCGCATTTCAATGTTTATGTTTGTTTTTGTTGTGTTTGTTAAAAATTTATGCTTTTTCGAAGATTTTCAGTGAAAATGGGAGGATAATAGTGTTCATTGTGATGAATATAAGTGTGTTGAAGTGCTAATCGGCGAGGAAAAGGTAAAAATCTTTAAAAATGAAATTTAATATTCAATAAACATTTCTTCATACTTTAAATATAGGTACAGGACTGTTTAGTATTAAAGTTTAATTAAGTTAGGCGTATTTAAAGGTTTAATAACTCAATATTTATATTACCATACGAATTAAAAATATCAATTTGAAAAGCGGCATAACGTATGAGACATAGGTTTAATTTTAGAGGAAATAAGTATTACAATCTTTTTTTAACGTGAAGCCCAAATTTTAATTAAATAAATCAAAAGAATACAGAAGAATGTATTGAGGATTTTAAAGAATAGTACTCACTTTAGTTATTTCCAGTTAGGTTTCTCTGTCTACTTTTCAGTATATAAAATTTTAATTGCGCCATCTACTTAATTCTATACGTAAAGTCATTTTATCGAACGAAAATTGGTTGATTCTCACGATGGTAGGTACCTAAAGATTACGCTAGATGGCACAAATACGGTATCGGCTAATTTATAGTGATATATGAGTTTAAAAATATCATTTTGTATGGTTTATTATGAAAAAATGAATAATTATAATAAATAGTCACTATTTTATGGTAAAAAATTAGCAAATCTTTATTTTCTCATTATAACCATCTAATTCCTGTCGTAATCTGTTCTTTTATGCATATAACTTAAACAAAATATAATTTCGAGGTTTCACATCTGCCAGGCGTACCTTTTTTAACTTTGTACATAGTTTGTTTGTACTTTGTTCATGCTTTTCTTTTGTTCATGTATTGTATTGTTTGTAAATATCTCAAGCAAAACCAAACGGCTCTTTTCCAAACCACCGAAGGTGTGCAATTGCATATTATGTCATATGTACAATCTATCTAGCGGTAGTATGCTTTCTGTGTGCTTTGTTAAACACGTCCTTGTCAGCACTGAATATGAAACTAAAGAGTGGAAACAGCTCAAGATTGGTGTATTTTTATTAAACTGCTAAAAACAACAAAACCATATCTTGGGCTTGCCCTAGATTGGAGCCCTAGCTTCGCCACTGCTCAATATAACGATCTTCCTTGATTTAACAAATTCTTCGTAATCTCCTTGAATTGTCCATAAGAGTCAATGTAAATTACCTTTACGTTGCGAACATTTCTTGCGAACAACCTCTTTATAACGAATTTTAACTATCAAGAAAAAGTGTAAATACCCGAATGAAATGTAAATTAACGAATTTTGTCAACTTTGTATAAAGTTTAGCTTTGTAGTAGTTTCTTTATAACAAATTTTAGACCAACCTAACCTCAACATAACAAACCTCAGTTCAACGAATTACTTGATATAACGAATATGTACTTGTTCCCATCCGATTTGTTATATCGAGGTTATACTGTGTTTTTTATATATATATATATATATATATATATATATAGTTCGTATATATATATATAGTCTCAGGTCTCAAGTTAATTTCCGCGTGATGTACATACCTTACCCCAGTAACGATCGCAGTTCAATAATTTTTCTAATTGTTTGCCGCAGCTCGACGGTCCCATCGAACCTGACGAATACTACAGACTGGGATACCTTGCCCTGTTTTAACTTTACCTCGTCGGATCCAAGCGTGTACACTCGCCTCGATTGCTACAGAGTAGCGTTGTTGACTTTCGTTGGAGTGACCGCCCCTTTTATATTTTCTAACGTACAGAAGACTAAGTATCTTCAGCTGTTTACGTCGGGGATGCGGTGGCTTGGTAAGTAAAAATTACATAATATAATATTTCATCCATTACAGTCTATAAAAGTCCACTGCTAAACAAAGGCCTCCCCTAAATATTTACTCCAAGAGGGGTTTGTCATAGTTTTCACTTGTGGCAGGGCGGGATCTCAACCGCAGTTCTTTATTACTTGAATAAAATATATTATTAAAAAATTTAGCCTGTACCAGCTAAATATTACAGATTTGTTTTATAAAAGTATGGGTGACTGACGAACATAGAGCCCACCTGATAGGAAGAGCATGCTGTGCTCTGTAGATAGATTCATCTATCCTCAATTAGAAGTCGTAAAGTTGTTACCCCTGATGACGAAGATAACATTGCTTCGCCACCATTAATAAGTGGTAAAATGAAAAAATTTGTACCACCGACTAAAATGAGAACATCATCAATGTAGTCGAAGTCAATTAAATACGCATTATTAAGGATAACTCAGAAACTACTGGTCAGATCTTGATCAAATTTATATGGGACCATATGAGAAGCACCAGCTTTCAAATTAAAAATAATCATCAAAATCTATTGACCTAGAAAAAAGTTCCATTCACACACAAAACTAAAATAAATTCAGTATAATTGAGTACCTCCTCCTTTTTTGAAGTCGGTTAAAAATAGTCTTCAGTTCTTGTCACTTATCATTTATCATCATATCACACGAAACAGCAACATTGTTCTACTATTTATTCTATGCGAGGTGTGCTTCTTTCCCATTAGGACCGACCCATTCAATCTACAGCCTTTATTCGCTACCGCATGGCTCTACCACGTTAGAACTATGGTCCTTCGTCGTGATTACCTCGTTGGTGTAGTGGTCGTAAGCGCGATATAATAATGAGGTCCCGAGTTCGAATCAATTATTGGTGTTTCTGTCGAGAAATTCGCAGTATCAGCCCCCATTCAAGAAATTGGCGGTGTTTTGCCCCATGCCTCGGAAAGCACGTACCACCGGGGTTCTACTCCTTATCTCTCTCCAGTCGTGTCGGATAGCCGCCTATCGGACTAGAGTAGACTGAGTGAGGGAATAAAAAGTGCACCTGTGCTTGCACGCACACTCGTGCACTATAATCATGTTTCAATGCGGATGTTTATTCTCCGTTGACACTGGCTGCCGTAATCGAAGGATTGTTGTTATCCTTGAAGAGCATTAAAATATGACTGTTGAAATAGGCTTGCATTTTATTTACCTTTTTTGTGTCTTTTAAACACACATTACGGCAATTATAATAACACATAATAATTGTTGTATTTATGATGTAAATAGTTATAGCGTATTACGGTAAAATGTTGAAATACCAATAGAAATTTTGCCTTATACGCAATAATTAATCGTGTTCATTCAAATTATATACAAGACACGGATGACCTAGTTTATCGAGGACAGTTATGCAAAGACTATCTACAAATACTGTTATATTCAGCACTATAGGCCAATCATGCCATCACGTATTGATCAATTTGCAGATAAAATGTGTTATAATAGATACTTTTTTTCTCTAAAGGTACGACATAAATACATAGTTTCTTCTGGAATGATATTGTTATGTAACCAGTTGATGATATTAGGTGAGACGTACGAAACATAAAATAGTTTAGCTTTGAATAGATAATTTTATAAAGTTGTTTTTAAAGGTCACGGACAACTTTTTGATTTACGGGCTAACATTATGTTTTAGTTACGATTTTTGATGAAAATTAAACTACGATTTTCTAATAAGGTGACGCTTATGAATCTGGTTTAAAAGGGATTGTAATACCGCCATTTCAGAAACCATGAGATTTTTGTCGGATAATTGCGACGTAAAAGAATCCTACACCCCATTTTTTCGAGATATTCCGTTTAGCCATCCTAAAAATCCACCTTGAGATTTGTTTTTGTTTCAATCATGATTTCATCAGTCCCCTTAAAAAGTCCACTGCTGAACATAGGTCTCCCCCAAGGTATGCCACAAAGCACGGTCCTGCGCCGCCTGCACCCATCGACTTCCCGCATGTCTTACCAAGTCGTCACTCCATCTAGTAGGGCCTCATACTTCGCCTACCGGTACGAAGCTGTCTGAACTTTTTTAACTATATTACCTTAGCGTGGATAAACGGAATAATCCATCTTTTCCCGTGGCTATTGTAAGGGACGACTATTGAATATTCCTGAATTATTTGGATATTAACACAACTGATACAAGACTTTAGGTTATGTTTCTATATAGAATATGGGTGACAAACGAGCGAACAGTCCACCTGATGGTAAATGGGTTTTGAGGTGCATAGACATTTACATCTTTCTCCGAGAACTCCGATAGAATGCTTCGTTTCTAGTAATAAGCGTACTAATTCGTATACAGTTCTAATATACTATTTTTTTAATGTTATTTCTGACTACTACCTATAAATATTAGCAAAGACGAAGTGAATTAAATAACGAACTTACTCGTAATCTGTTATCTTACTTAAATTTCTACCGAGTTCATCATTCAAGGATAATTTTTGTATTATTTCTATTTAATTTAATCTATAACATATATTTTCAGCGTTCGCGATCATGATTTCGATGGCTATACATCTGCTCATCGGACACGGGCCACAGGGCAAGCCGCCCGCATTCGACTTTACTGGAATGCCCACTCTCTTCGGAGCGTGCGTATATTCATTCATGTGCCACCATTCACTACCAGGGCTGATCAGTCCGATTAGAGGCAAAAACCGTTTAGGTTTGCATCTCGCTCTGGACTACGTATTAATAAGTATCTTCTATCTCTTGCTAGCGTTCACGGGTGCGTTCGCGTTCGCACACCTAAGCGACTTGTACACGCTTAACTTTGTACCCACAGACAATGAAAATATATTTTTGGAGATTGTCGAATATTTTCTAGCCCTATTCCCTGTGTTCACTCTCTCCACTAGTTTTCCGATTATCGCTATCACGCTCAGAAACAATCTGCAGGGTTTGTTTTTAGACACGACGCGCTTGGAGTCGTACAATTTTATATTAAGAAAGCTTTTGTTCCCAATTGTAACGGTATTACCTCCACTACTGCTGACTTACTTCTTAGAAGATATTGGAATTTTGATTAAGTTTACAGGATCGTATGCCGGTACGGGTATTCAATATTTAATGCCAACTTTTCTAGTGTTATCCGCTCGGCGACACTGTACGAACCTACTCGGCTTAGGTGTGGTAAACAAATACAAAAGCCCATTTTCACACGTTGCGTGGGCCGTATTCGTACTTCTTTGGTCATTTATGTGCATTATTTTAGTGTCTGTGAATATTTTCGAGAAGAAATCATGACGTTAGTATATTGTTACACGTTTCTTCAATTAAAACTACCAACGAACAAGTGGTAAAATTAAAAATTTTATGCAACCGACTGCCAATATAAATAAAAGGAGAATATCGTCAATGTGGTCGAAGTCAATTAAATACGCATTATTAACGATAACTCAAAAACTACTGGTCAGATCTTGATCATATTTATATGGGATCACATGAGAAGCAACAGCTTTCAAATAAAAAAAGAACTAGAAAAAAATTCTGAAAACAACCTCCTCCTTTTTGAAGTCGGTTAAAAAGCGACAACCTCCCCTCCCCCTAACGTGAATAATCCTGATTTTTTTCTGACCTCCTTTCGCCCTGTTCGTACTAAGGACCTACAAACGCACTTGGGTGTGGTAACTTATTATTGATATAAAGAAAAACGTGTTCACTACTTGTATTTTGTTTTGTAAGATATTTTTATACCGCCAGCTTAATTTTACATTTACGTTTTACTTAATTTTATATTAAGACTATAAATTAATATGATAATGTCTTTAAGCTTAAAAAAACTGCTAATATGCTACTTTCTGCATCCTGTATACTATCCTTAATAAGTAAAGTTTCAAAATATATTATATATTGTGTATTGACAATAATGAATGTTCATCATCATTTCATTATAATAGAAAGTTTTGATTGAGAATGCGTTGCTTCGTAAATATAGTAAAAATGTATAGTTAGGAATGCTCTTGATCAGATGTAACATGGTGCTAGATAAAGTTAAGGAAACTTAAGATACGAAGGCACAATCAAAGTTTATTGGTGTAATATTGTAAGGTACGGATGAATTAGTTTGCCGACAAGAATGAGAAATCCGTGTAATTTTCCCCACACTCGGCAAGTTTTGCTAATGCGACGTCCAAATCCTTAAGTTTGTTCGCTGAGATTTTTTTGTACTAATGAGAGAAGAGTGTAGTTCTATTGTATCATTAATTTATATTTGTAGCATATGCGCTAGTTATGTGTAAATGTCATTGTTAATATGCAAAATAGTGCGGCCAGCTCTCCCGATCAAATTATAAATCTTCCAGATGCTGGAAGTATAAGCCAACCTTATAAAAATGTAAGGTCAGAAATATAAATTTTTAGTATACAAAATTAATTATTACGACTTCACCCGGATGTTAATTTTCTTGTGTTATTAACCCTAAAAAAGTAAAGTAATTCATTAGTTAATATAAATAAACATAGCAAATATCAATAGAGCAAAATAATTCCTTATGAGGATCGTGAAGTGCCGATACGCGGTGCGAATAGGTATTTACAAAAATACTATCTGTTTCGTACCGCTCGCTACGTATCGCCGTATCGTGCGATAGAGAGTTGCAAGTTTTGGAAGCAATTGCCCATTTTTCCTTTCTGAAATATTGTTTCGGGTGATTACATTTTCACCCCTCTAAACCTTTACGAAATGAGACAATTTTGGTCTCATTAGATTCAGTACACCTTAAATCTAGGTCTGTACGATTTTCCTTTTTAGTAATTCAGTTTAATATAGTTTAATATAATTTAATATAATTCAATTCACAATGCTGTATTAATCCCTACTTTAACGTATGGTAGTGAAAGTTGGGTGTGGCAGAAGAAGCTCGAGAGTAGAATAAATGCAGTAGAAATGCGGTCGCTAAGGAGTATGTTAGGGCTGAATCTGAGTGACAGGGTGAGAAACTGTGTGATAAAAGAAGAGTGTGGTTTGCAAGATGATGCAGTGACCAGGATTAAGAAAGGAATGCTTCGGTGGTTTGGTCATGTAGAAAGAATGAATGCGGAAAGACTGACAAAGCAAATATGTGTTGCAGAAGTGGATGGAAGAGTCGGAAAGGGACGTCCTAGGCGGAAGTTTGTCGACCAAATTGGCGATATACTAAAAATGGGCCAAATTAAGAGTACCCTTAACCGACGAGCATGTATGCGTAGGTATATGGATGTGGAAGAGGCGAGAGAGGTATGTCAGGATCGTGCTAAATGGAAATACTGTAGTCTCTGCCTACCCCTCTTTGTAACAGGCGTGAGCACAGAACACGGAATAAGAAATTAGAACGGCTCCAATACACTTTTTGTACGAGAACCTGCGTCGGCAGTAGGCGGAACCCTGTTGTCACAACTACATTTGCAAATATAAGTACACGCTCACACATGCATTAAAGACTCCAATCAAATATGTAAAAGATCCAATCAAATGACAGGCAAAATCGAGCGAACTAATCCGGCGCGTGCTCACTCACACATCCACACATACATGTAGTGAAGGCGTAAAGACGCGTAAACAACTAGTGAGGTGAAGTGGCGATTGACAATTTTTTATCGATATCGATAAAAACTACAAGTTGAGTGTTCGTGTTATGTAGGAATGGATGTAGGGAATGGATATAGTTTGTATTTAGGTAAGTTATAAATAAAAAAATTAAATTACTGCATTCAAATTAATGTTTTAATTATGAAGCAATTTTGATCAAATTTAGTACACAGATAAATTAGATCTTGGGGAAGGACTTTATTTGGTTGACAAATTTTGTTGAGAGCTCTAAAATACAAAGGGTTAAAAATCAGACATAAAATAATTCGATGTGATGAATAAGCAAAGCAATGCTAAAAATTAACTTTAAAAGAGAAAGTTATTTTTATTGCCCCTGAAATATAATATATTTGTTTAATAGTTGCCGCTTAGTTTCTTTTTGTGTTATAGAGTTTTTCAGAAAGAAGTGAAGTCGAATGTTTAGGTATTTCTCTATAACCGCCTTAGTTAAATCGGTTATGTGGTTAGAAAACGGACATTGTCCCATGTCATGAAATTTGATTGTGTCAAACAAAGAGCTCTCAACGAAATTTGTCAATACTTTAAGTTCGAATAAAATTTTTATTACGTCACTCGAAGGACACATAAGGCCACCTTTGTCTTTTTTTTTAATTAATTTGTGGCAAGAGTCAGTTTGACTGCATAAAAGAGCTCCGATACATATGTCGCATTTTATTTTATTTATGAGGGAATGAACAACGTTGCCAGCTATATAACCTAAAACAGAAAAAAATCTGTAACATAGGGATACACTCAAATAAGGACACCTGACTCGCGAAACTAGGGAAATGTGCTATCAGGAGTCAGTGATTATGACAGGAGTAGGCAGTTATAGTACTTGATCTGCCAAGTCGAGCAAAAAAGCGGCACGGCCGTACCATCCTTTTCTCGAAGCAATTCAGGTCATTTTCGACTCCCTATAACTTTGTCGTGGATAAAACTAGAATCCTGAAATTACAGTAACAAAACAGGCATTGTATAAACACGGTATATTTCGAATTTCATTCAATTTGAACCAGCAGCTTAAGAATTATAACTAGTCAAAATTTCTTAATTTTGTCACTGACTGACTTCTAGTAGACATAGAAGCTTGAAATTTAGAATACAATTAGTGTTTAGTGTATAGTTCAAGGAAAAACTAAAAAAAATATGTTGCGTTTTTAGTCCAGTTTTCTAGATACACCAACTGCACAAATAACTTTGTAATCCCATATAATTATATAGGATTACAAAGTTACATTTTCAGTGAATGAATCTGTGTACCTGTATTTGTAATATGTATAATGGAATAATAAGTGTAGATAGGTACCTAGATATAATTATCTACAAAAAGAAATGAGATCCCTTAAAAACAAAACTTGTAAAAAACCAAGTCTCGCAACTCAGTTCTTCTACCGTAAAAAGTTGTGATATCCATGTAATACCAAGTCGGTTAAATAAAAATATTGACTTGGCCATCGCACTAAACAATCTAATTTAATATAATATGTATTACTCGTTAGATACATTGTGTTTTCATGCGATGGCCAAGTCAATCTTTTTATTTAACCGACTTGGTTTTACATGGATCTCACAGTTTTTTACGGTAGAAGAACTGAGTTGCGAGATTTTTTTTATAAGCTTTTGTAATATGCAAAGGGTAAGATTTACGATCAAAACTTGAAAAATGATGTGTGAAAAAAATTACCTATAACTTGTATACTGAAATCTGTCAAATAATAATGATCCAGCATTTCTTCTTGGAATTCATTGTCTGATTCGTCGTCGCAAGCTTTTTCTGTTGACGGCGTGGTCAAATTAATCCGGTCAACAGCTGAGCAGGTTAAAATAGATAACTGTTCAAGCGCATTACAGTTGCCACTGCCGAAATCCTTGAGTTCTATGCGAACTAATAGTTTTTTATATGCTGCTTTAAACTGCCTGGCTGTCGGATTGTTATGAGATCCACCATTAGATCTAATATTGCCAAAAAGTAATTCCAGATGGTCCTGGCTTGTTTTATAAAAGAAAAAAAAACTAATTCTCCAGTTTGAACAAGAGTCTCATAAAAGTGTCTGACAGCTACAGCGCAGCCGATAAATCCTTTGAAACCTACTTTCCTTTGGCTTTCAATCAAAAGTGTGCCATTGTCACACTTTAAATTAGATATATAGCCAGCAACTTTATCTACATATTCTAAAATTTCTTTAGCATTATTTTCATTAATAGGTTTTTTATAACTGTGTTGTGACATGCTTTTTGAATTAAGTATATCAAAAAAATTATTAATTGTTTTTAAGAAAACTGTTGTTAGTAAACTTTCACGAAAAATTGGTAAATTTAGTTCTTCTCTGCAAAAATCTATGGCATCACATACGCTTAAACTAAATAATTGGGTGGCAAGTTTAACTTTCATCTTTTGATTGTGATAGTGTATATGCCGATATCTCAACTTGTTCGCCAAATGAAATTTTTCCTTTTCTTGGAGCTTGTTTAGTTCCTCAAGGTAGAACCACTTTATTTTATTGCCATACTCGTCAACAGACACTTGGTAGACCTGTAATATTATCAAATAACACAGGTGTATATGACAACTTGCCGAAAACTGAAATCAATTTTCGTGAAACGTCACACTTTAAAAAACCGTAAAAACCATTGCCTGATCCTGATGCAATATGTGTCTCCAATCTAAAGAGATAAATCGTGTTGCGCAGATCCTTAATGAATTGGGATAAGGACAGGGAGAAGAAGAAGACCTATATCAATATTTCCACGCAAATCACGTCGTGAGCAAAAATTAGTTAAAATTAATTACATAAGTCATAGCAAACCTGAAATGCGTTCCGTATTAGCTTAACCATGTGAGATGGATTTAAAAGTGCCATAATTGGATATTTTGTGACCGGCTCTTCAAATTTCATTTTTCCCTCTTCAAAGTTACATCCCAGGTGTTTCAACATAGCTATTTTAAAGGCACAGCCATCAAAAGTTAGAGAAACAATTTTTACTCCAGTTTCATGTATCTTTTCTAGACATTGTTTTACTAGTTCAGCTCGTTGAACTCCAGTCATTCCGTCAATCAAAAAATAACCCATAGGCACCTTAAAATTACAGTTAATGCCAGTCACTAAAAAAACTAATGCCTCCTTTGCTTCCGTTATATGGTCACCTTCTATTCCACTACCTATCTCAACATGCCCGTGCAGTTTTACTCCGTCCCATTCTATACGACGTCTTATTGCCATTTCATCTATCATTAGACCAGCTATGATTGGATATTTTATTGAATTTGACTTTGCCTTAAGGGCTTTGAAGGATTCATCTGTGAAGCCTGGTTCTCCTTTTACACTTGTGTACCATTTTCGTAAAGTACGTACAATCTTATAATTATACGCTTTGGGCGAATAGTAATGTAAGGTAAGTGCAAATGTTTGGAGAGCTGGGGAATAACGCTGTTTTGTAATTCCACCGGACTTTTCTTTTGATATGTACCGACCAATCAATTCTTCAACCTACAAAATAAAATAAAAATTGTTTACCAAATTCATTCAAAAAATATATTGAGATGTAAAAACCGAAGGAATCCCGTAACATACATACAAAAAATTAAATAATAATAAAAATTCGGTTTAAAGAGTAACCTTTCACCTGTAAATTTGTGCCTCTCAATGCACTTAACTGTTCTTCTTTCAGTGAAAACTTTTTTTCTAATTCATTTGTTATATCTGCCATTTTATGTATTTTTTTCTTTAATCGCCGATTTTGTGCTTGTATTCTTTTAATCTGATTTCTTTGGTGTTTTATGATATTTTCTTTAGAAGATATTATTCGTGTTAATCTTCTTTTTCTCGGCGTTGACGCATTGGAGTCAATGAAGGAATGAACACTGGACTGAAATTTTTTAACATTGTCCGTTGTTACCTGTATTGCTATACTAGAACACTCCTCCATTAATACTGAAGAATTATTCGGTACTGGATCCATATCCTTAATTGGTTGATTAACACTCTCTTCCATTAATACTGTTGAAGAGTTTAACGGTACTGGATCTACATCCCTTATTGTTTGATTAGCACTCTCTTCCATTACCGTTACCGTTGAAGAAGTTGTCAGTATTGGATCTACAATTTCCTAAAATAAAACAAGATAATAAGATCTACAGTGCTGTATATTAAGCTAAAATAATAGTTTAACTACGAAAGATGAACGAAGTTTGTTGATTGGTAACAGCAATAAAAGTGAAACTCAGCAAAATAATGAGTTAGTTAGGTACCATCTATAACTAACCTGAACTTTTGTTTATTATTTCATTGCCTATGTTCTTCTGAGTACGTTTTCGTGGTGACAAAGTAGAATCTTTTGTATCATTAACCTAAAAAATATTGTCAACAATACATGAACATATTTACAGTTATGAACAAAATATAACTTTATAAAATAGTATAAACATACAATGTACACAACTTGTACATGTGGTACTGCACCGTTTTTTAAATATCTCTTCTTAGAATTTTTGACCTCGAAGTCATCGTCATTAAAGTGTTGTGAACAAATGGTACTTGATTTAGTCGGAATCCAGTCTTTACGACCAGTAATTTCGATCCACTGTTTCCGTATATCTGGCTTTTTAGGAAAACTGAAATGTTATAGGAAACAAAATGCATTATATGTATATACTTTAGTCTTTTTTTAATCCAAAATCCAAATAACAAGGTTTGGTTGATGGCCGCGCGAAATAAAAAAGACGCCACTTTCCGGCATTCCCTTTTACCTAAGAATCCGAATCTATAAAGATATCGATAAAATGCTTAGCGTAATGATCAATGCCATTAATAATTATTTTTATAAGCAAAAATAAAGAAGATTACTACCCAAAAGAAATTGAAACTTATCGATAAATTGCTACAGAGTGCGTGTCTCTTCACTAGAATCATGTGTCACCTTTACATTGCGTGCTTAAAACGACACTATAAAAATGGTATGCGTACTTTGCCAGCAATGTATATTTTTAAGAATTTTAATAACATTTTAAAGATTTTGACTTAAAAACCGTAAATTTGAGAAGTTTTTTTACTTACCGATGAAAAGAAATTTCTCCTTTGGCTAGACTCGACACTTCACTCCTTGCTTTACAACTAGGCAACATACCAGCACAAGTAGGCATTTTTCGTCAAAATTAGTCGCCGCGTTTCACTTGCGCACGGTGAGAGCGTTCGTGAGTGACTTATGAGCGCGATCACGTGTCTCGTCTCGGATTTATATGACCGTTCGGGCAAATCAGTGCTATGGGCGTGAATGTCTATCTTTTTACCCTCGGGAAATATTTTAAGTAAAAAATATAGATTTTTAGATGCTAATAACTTATATCGTACTCAATATTTCTTTAAAATAAAAACGTACGGACCTAGTTTTTCATTATTTCCATATTTCCAAAACATGAAGATTGTTTACGGAGGGAAAAACGTTATCGCTTTTCGTACGAAAATTTACAGCTTCACAATCCTCTTAAGAATGGCTCCGCAGTATGTCATGTTAGTTTAAAAATAAATGAAAAGATCAAATTAAAACACAGTTGAAAGTAAGTTTAAGTTTAATGATTAATACTTAAGGGATATTTTATCTTTATCAGACGGATATGTTTATTTATATATTGAGTTCTGTTATGTTTAATAGATGAAACAATTTTTTTTATTAAATTATACTATGTTATAATATATTGTCGATGCACTGCATAAATATCATAATAAACTTCTAAAGTAATATTATACACTAAAAACACATTACACTGTGTTTTTAGTCATTGAATAACTAGCGTCAAGGTTTTATTTTGGTTTTTAAACCTCCTTAGTACTCAGAGGTGTGTCTAGTCACAGTTAACACCTGCAATTAATCCTTCTGTTTACTCTTTCCTATGTCTAACTTAAATATAAACTATTCAGTACAATATTAATATTATGTAGGTAATCATTCATTATAAGAAAATGTATGTTCCAAATAATTACCTCAACGTTTGTATGAGTGTATAATGTATTGTGGCTATGAATATTCTTTATTGTGTGTTTTATTAAAACTAATTATGTTCTTGTCAATTTTTTTTAAATAAATTTATTTCCGTATTAAGTCAAAGCATACACAAAAAGAATAGAAATATAATTGAAATGTAAAGTAAGTGAGTACATGAGTATATTTGCCTGTGGCGTTTCAACTACCGCACTAGAAATATTTTATATTCTATTTAATAACGTTTTTGTGATACTTCGCAGCATAAAAACGTTATTAAATAGAGAGTAAAACGCCAATTCTGCATGCAAGCGTATGAATCTTGTATACAAATGTCTGCTTGTAAACCCATTTTAATTTTATAAAAAGTACTGAAGAATCTAACAAAGATTGAAGTCTCGTACAGTATCGACCGCGTCGAAAGATGCTTTCTTTCCTTCCTTTCATTCCACAAATATTTCCATAAGTACAATGCGATATTATAAGAGTTTTTGATTTTATAAATTCTCTCTATGTATTATGAAATTTAAAATGCCAATTACACTTAAGGATTGTGAGAACATTATGTTACTATATTCGATTAGTATTCTCGTGTGATTGTTATTTTTCACAACTGTGATAGTATTACCATTTTGTTATAGTGGCGAATGTGAAAAAATTGACTGATTTATTACCCTTTTATAGTGTGAAATATTTTTATAAATAATTAAAGTTTATTTTGTGTGTTTGTATTCTTGCCTTTTATTTAACCTATACGGAAAACCGTTTTCAGATACATACTGAGTGTTATTATCAACAAATGGTTGTAATTCACATATTTCCTTCTAAATTTCAGTTTCTATTTTCAAATATGTGATCTTACGAAATTTTGCATATGCCACGATAACTACTGGATATTTCTCTTTCTACAATCCTGGTTTTGACATAATCATCTAACTTTGGACATTTCGTCGACGTATTTAACTCGGCTGGGCAGCGTTAGGGAATTACGAAATATCTTCTCATCAGGTATACCTCAAAACATGAAAACTAGATTGTACAACCAGTGCGTGTTGCCAATGATGACTTACGGATTTGAGACGTGGTCCTTCGCTGCTGGCCGTATGAGGACGCTTAAGGTCGCTCAGTGAGCTATGAAGAGGGCTACGCTCGGGATTTCTCTACGTGATAAACTTAGGAATGAGGATATCCGCAGTAGAACCAGAGTGACCGACGTAGCCCAATGGATTAGTAAGCTGAAGTGGCAATGGGCCGGCCATATAGCTCGAAGAACCGATAACCGATGGGGAAAGAAAGAGGGCGTAGTGTAGGGCGACCCCCCATTAGATGGAGTGACGACCTGCTAAGACTTGCATGAAGTCGATGGATGCAGGTGGCTCAGGACCGTGCTTTGTGGCATTACTTGGGGAAGGCCTATATTCAGCAGTGGACTTGTGAAGGGCTGTAATGATGATGATGATGATGATCTAGCTTTGGAATCTGACAATCAATTTCAGGACAACTACAATGAAAGATGTACAGATGTAAGTAACAATTTTGGTTAAGGGTACACTAGTCATTATTCTTCCATACAAACGTAGTCTGGCGATTACTCCACTGTTTGATGGTGTACGTTCACAATAAAAAATGATTTCAATTTGTCTCATCATTATCTAGCCCTGTATGGAAACAAAAAAGTAAAAAAAGAGTCGATACAGGAAGTACATTAGTTACTTTACTTTAATTTGCTAACTAACGAAAACATCTCATAGATAAGCACGATTATCGAAAATCTTAAAATTGTCTATTAATTTAATTAGAATAGGTAATTTTTAGATTTTCTATAATCGTGCTTACGTATAGGAATCTCATATCCTAATATACCTAATGTAATTTATGTAAGTACATAAGAATCTAAGAAGGGCAGTCAATGATAAATAAAATTTGTTTTGTAAGTTGTTTTTTTAAAAAAAAACACTTTAACACAACAAAAACATGAAACTGAGAAGAAGCACCCGATCTGCCGAAACAAACTCAGAGAGGTCAGTCCAGGTATTACATTGGTCATGTCATACGAGAACCAGGCTAATATGGTCCTTTGAAGAAAGAATCATACAGATGTGAGTGGACAACTAAGTACTTTTTAGGATTCCGTACCCGAAGGGTAACCAGCAGGGCCCTATTACGGAGCCTCCGCTGTCCGTGTATCTGACTGTCAGCGGGCTGCATCTCGATCCGTAATAGTTAGATGGTTGTAATTTTCAAAGAACGTGTATTTCTGTGACCACTATAACAGCAAATAGTAAAAATAAATTTGAAATTAAAGGATTTTCTACTAGAAAAAGAAACGTGTATTTTTAGCTGTTTTTGGTCGATAGTAATATGTATAGGTATTTAAATCTTGTAAAATGGTTCAGAAGTCCGATTCGCACTTGGAAAAATATTTGTTTATATTTAACCTTACCTCAGACATACTCATATTTTTTTATATATAATTTACTATACTACTATATAAGCTACTACTAAATAAAATAGTACAGTCGATCTCTAAATTGTAGTTTTCTTCTAATTAACCTAAGTTTACCTAAGTTTAAGGTTAGTAAGTGCCTTGTCTAGACGTGTTCTTTGGACTTCTGTAAGGAAGTTTGTGCTGTTAGTATTCCGTTTATATACGTTACTATTTTTATAGACGTTTGTGCTTGTCCCTGTAGTGACACAATGCCTATTGTTGATAACTTTCTAAGTACTAAGAGAATATTGCAAACCGCTATTGAACACAAACAATCAATAAATAATTTACAAACTAACATTTTTTATTTATTTAATTAACCTATATAAAAGCCCCACTCACATCAAAATCGCGCTGTCGAAAAATCAGTTATCCTGACACTGGCTGGCATATTC